CTTTCCTATCTCTTTTGTTCTCTATGACTTCACTGTAATCTTTACATATTATCGCTGTTCAATTGTGCGTGCATGGTCAGTGATGATTTGTTAGGGGCTGGCTCCCTTGACAGGTACTGGTGAAGAGAAGGACCCAGTGACCATTTCTCTGACTATACTAATCTTTCATATTTGTCTTTGGAATTGTGTAAATATTTTACATAATTATTTTTAAGATGAAATATAAAAAGCAATCCCTAAGACACAAAGCAAATTAAAGCAAATAAACCAAACTGCACAGTGACTATGAAGAACCACACAAAGAACTATTTATAGCAGTGGGAACTTAACAATCTTGGTGGAGCTATAGCCTAAAGATAAAAAGAACTCAAGAAAATCTGTTTTTAGAAACCTACTTGCTAGTATTATTCTAAGACTGCTGTGTGTATAGCATGGGACTAAACAAACACATTAGTGTTACTAAGTGCTGAGATATTTTCAGCATTGGAGAAACCATACATACATTAGGATACATAAAAACAGTGTGCCCTTGCTGCAGAGAAAGCATTTAATAAAATAAAATCCAACTTTTTAAAAAATTTTTTTACAAAAACCCTCAAGACTGAATAGAAGGGTAATTTTATAGTCTTTTCCCACTAGTTTCTGGAATTCTACCACAGTTTTCCAATTCATCGAGGCTGACTGTCTTCCCTCTCTTGGCTTATCGAGTTTATTTTATGGGCAGTATTCCTACAAAATGGTTTATAGCGTCCATGATTTGAGAAGATGGTTACTTGAGTTTTGCAAAAGTTTTATATTAGCCCTGACCTAAAACATTAATAGAGGAGCTGATGCCAGGAGCTTACGTGGAGAGCAAATGTTTTGAGAATGATGAGAGTAACAAATGTACAAATGTGCTTTATACAATTGATGTATGTATGGATTGTGCTAAGAGTTGTATGAGCCCCCAATAAAAAGATCTAAATAAATAAATAAATAAACTTTGGCATAGCACAAAAGTACCTTTTTGTTAAAAAAAAACAACAGCATTTAATAAGACTAGTGTATTACTGAGAGAAACTGTGTATAGCCACACACTGATCATAGAAGCATGTTAACACTTCTTGTTTGGGAAAAAAAGCTGTATATGTATCAATATTTTTTATTTGCCTTTGCACAACCAAACACTTAATAGGTTTGGTTTCTTAGCTTGGAGGTTTAGGGTCATGGTTTCATGGAACATCTGTTAACTGAGCTAATAATGTGTCCATGATCAGTATTTCTATTCTACTTCCATGTTACAAAATGCCTGGGGTCTTAAGAACCTTCAAGCAGTCAAGCAAGATACAACCATTGATCTCTATAACTGCCTGGAGCAACAGAGAAAGGAAAAACAGGAGGAAATGGAATGTGTAGCTAACTGCCCCTATGAACAACTGCCTTTTCCACCACGAGGCCAGAAGAACTGGGTGATGGTATGCAGCTACCATTTCTGAACATTGTGATCCAAGAGTTTATAAAATAATTCTGATTCAAAGGGAAACTGCAGATCAGAATTTCAAATGGTCATGAACTCTACCAGAGTCAGGGAGGCCAGATGAACCCCTAAAACTACTGCTTTAAAATAATCTTTAAACTTTAAACCAAAAACATCTCCTGAAGTCTTAAAACCAAGCAGACTGTGAATGAAATCCATTCCTAAGTTTGTCTTTAATTCAAATTTGCACAGAGATCAGAAGTAAGGTACAGCTCACATCCGACATTACACAAATGTTTGCCTTAGTATATAGTGTACCTCACACTATGCATAAAAAAATTAGAGAAGCACTTCCAAATACACTAAAACATCTGAACTTACATTACTAATAATAATGTTTGGATGCATGTTGCAAAGTAGCATCCACTTATTAGTAGGAACAACTGTATACAGTATACCTAAAACATTTTAATATAATAATTGCCTTAGTGGTTGCTTTGTAAATGTAACCCAGGGACTGCTTACAGTTTAACTTGGCTGGTCAAAAACATCTGCCTTGAGCTGTGTGCTTTTTCTACCTCTATATGGGGTCAAAATGACAACAGTAATTTTTAAAAGTAGGCAGGAGCCTTAAGCGAGGGCAGTGAACATGTGATAATGGAGGAAGAACAACTCGTTAAGGAAGGGTCAGAATGGCTGCAGCAATTTGAAGAGTGGAGTCATCATGTCACTGAGCTGTACGTGTACAGACTTAAATTGGAATATATATTTTTGCTGTTAATGTTTTAAACGACAAAATAAAACATCTCCACCAAACTCTTGAATTTGAACTGGAACTATGACATTCCAATAGCACAGAGTAGCTCGACAGTTCAAACTGTGGTCTTTACCACTTTCACTCAAAGGAAACAGAGTTCCTTAAAGAAGTTGCTACTTATAGCTCTGGAGGTAAAAGACTGAAAATGTTTATACTATCATAAACTAGAGAAGCTAAAAAATATTCCTAGTGTCATGTCAAAAGGAATCAAGAAGAAATTTGAAGCTTTCCTGCTGCACAATGATGAAATAACATAAGCATCAAATAAAAACATCACTGGATTAAAATATGAAAAAAAAGATTAAATCCCTGAGTTTACACTGATATTAAAAACAAACACCAACTTTGGAGGGTGTTAAGGAGCCAACCTACTCTAAAAATAGGTAAATAAAAGAAAAGCCCGAACCATTCACCCTATCTTTCCTGAACAAACTATGCTGCTGTGGTATACTGTCAGGTGGAGTCCTACTTAGTCAGCTCAGTGAAGCCACCAGTGGGCTCAAACCTCTGATATTTTAGTCCAGCGGTTCTCAACCTTCCTAATGTCCGACCCTTTAATACAGTTCCTCATGTTGTGGTGATCCCCAACCATAACATTATTTTAGTTGCTACTTCATCACTGTAATTTTGTTAGTTATGTTTTCCAATGGTCTTAGGTGACTCCTGTGAAAGGGTCATTCGACCCCAAAGGGGTCACGACCCACAGGTTGAGAACCACTGTTTTAGTCAACAGTGAAGCGCTTCATCCTTGTAACACCAGAGCTACTTGAGAAGTGTGCCAGAGTATTTGAGTTGATGAGTGTAATGTTTCCCTACAGAAATAGTCCAGTTTATGCATAAAGAAATAAAAGATTTTAAAACAATGTCATCTGCAATCTCAGTGAATGGACCTAAGCAAGGATCAACATGATGCCCACACTGTGTGCTTCCTAAAACATCTCAATAACTATTAACAGTGGTTTTGTTTTCATTTGGGGGTGGGGAGGGATCAGATCAAGCCTGAATCTAACCGAGTCTGCAGACTTGCTTAGAGTGCATCAAAATTACCTGGAGGTCCAGTAACACAGACTGCAGGGCCCCACCTCATTGTTTCTGATCCCACAGGCCTGCAGCCCTGGATTAAAATATGAATGTTGGTTTGCTAACCAAAGTTAGTAGCAGTTTAAACTCACCTGCCACTCCTCAGGAGAAATGTGAGGCTGTCTACTCCTATAAAGATTTATAGAACTTGAAATATGAATAAAATTATTTCTAGGACTTTTTAAATCATTGTGAGGAGGAGGAGGAACTTCGGTAAGAATGATTCATGTACTGATGAACTAGTAACAGTTCAGGATGAATTATTTTGAGATTCTATCTCAACTTCATGTTCAACCAAATTGTGTTGGTAGCTCCAAATTGACGGTGGTAGGAGGAGGATTAAGCCCAGAAAACTGGCAAACACTATAAATTGGAGGTCATTGTTAAACATTTACCATCATATCACTGGCCCTAAGTTAATCATTGAAAATGGGTAATTGGTAGAAGGAAGTTTGTTATGTTATTCTTTTTTACTATTATCAATGTTTGACATTTTCCATCATAAAAAGCAGAAAGAGCATTAGAACTTTGGTCTGGAAATAGTAAAACCTACACTGGCTCTTCTTTCACGATGGTGGTGGGATTCTCTGTTTCTGCCTCTACAATGGCTCACTTTATAATTAGCGGAATGGCAAAATGGACCAATCCCTTCTTAGAAGTCTCATGCACCCATTTTTGTGCTTCCACTCAGTCATTTGATGGGAATTATATAATAGGTAACATCATGATAAATGGAGAAAAGATTCAAGTTGTCAAGGATTTCATTCTGCTTGTATCCACAATCAATGCTCACGGAGGCAGCAGCAGTCAAGAGATCAATTAATTATTGCATTGGGTAAATCTGCTGAACAAGATTACCTCTTTAAAGTGTTGAAAAACAATATTACTTTGAGGAGTAAGGGGCCACCTAAGCTAAGTCACAGTGTTTTCAACTTGAGCCTCATATGCATGTGAAAATTGGACATTGAATAAGGAAGACCACAGAAGAATAAATGCATTTGAATTATGGTGCTAGTGAGGAATATCAGAAGTATCACAAATTGCTAAAAGAATAAACAAATCTGTCTTGGAAGAAGTACAGCCAGAATTCTCCTTAGAGGCAAGGATAGCAAGACTTTATCACACATATTTGGGTATGTTATCAGGTGAGACTAGCTTTGGAAAAGAGCATCATGCTTGGTAAAGTAGAGAGGCGCTGAAAATGAAGAACCTTGATGAGATGGATTGAAGCAGTAGCTGTGAAAATGAGCTCAAACATGACAGCAACTGTGAGACTGGTGCAAGACAGGGCAATGTTTCGTTCTATTGGGCATAGGGTTGCTGTGAGTCAGAATCCTCTCAACAGCATCAAACAACAACAAAATTTGGGGGGGGGGCATGTATATGATGCTACAAAGACAAACAACTGAGAAATAAAAACTGGGGAAAGGACTTTAACAGGGATTTAATATCACTCGAGATATTCAGATGGCCAAAAAGCACATGAAAAAATGCTTAATATTATTAGTCATTCTGAAGATTGGCCAAAACCCTATGAAAGATTATCTCACCTCCAACTAAAATGGCAATGATAAGGTTAAAGTCTGCAGCCTGGCTTTCTGGAAGGTGCAGTGGTGAGATGGGCAAGGTTGATGCCAGTTGATGAGGATGGCAGAAAGCGCCTTCAGTTTCAAAAAGTTACCAGAGCAGTTTGAGAACCAGGGGCTCAAGGCTCCTGGAGGTATTTCTAACGCACCAGTGTATGGGCAGCTTCTAGCTCTCTACCTGCTGCAAAACAATATGAATAATGCCAAGTTATCTTTGGAAAGGAATTCCGCTATCAAATCTGCCAATGCAGAGCTGTTCGGTGGGCCAGAGAATCTTACAGCGGGACATCCCAAGGATCTACACCACTATCAGCGCCCACCAGTGGTCAGAGGCTGTGCAACCCAACTTGGATGCGCTGAGAGACCTGACCCAGGGACGTACCCTTTGCGCTGGTCTACCAGGCATATACCTCCATTGTCCCTGATGATTTTCCTGCCTGCATTGAGCTCCCAATGGAAGAGGCCGTCAAAGGTGCGCTGGGGCAGGGCTGGCAGGCCAACTCCACCCAGGCTGTCTTGACCAAGAAGCCTGCTGTAGTAGTCCTGGACACTCTCTCCAGCAGGTTTAACCCCCTAGCTCTTTCCTCTATTTCCTTTTAGTTTCCTCTGGTCCCACTATCATGCTCAGCCTTCATTTGGGTTACAGTAATTCCTCTTGGCTACACTACCCTTGATCACATCCTACCAGGCCTCCTATACCTTCCTCACCACCAATTTGGATCACTTGTTGTTGCCTTGTCCCTGGGTTTGTTAACACCACTTCCTTTCCCCCGACCGCCCCTTCTCCTATGTCCCCCTGGAACTGTCAGTCTCGTTGTTTTCTCCTCCAGACTGTTCATCCAGCCTATCTTAGACAGACCTGCGGAGATAATAACATGCACAAAAACAAGACAGCAAAACCAAGCAACAAAAGAAAACAAAACAACAACAACAAAAAGCCAATG